CCAGGACAATTTTTTGCTCGACTGGTCTCTCACTCCGGTATAAAGACCACCCCAAGTATAAAGTAGACATAAAAGCTTTGCTGTGGTGTATTTAGTGCACAAGGACACAGTTTTACATCTAGGGGTATCGACGCTCTGAGAAATAAAATAAACGTCCCCGACCGTGCAAAATCGCTCCGTTTAGTTCATGCTCTTTCCGACTCACTACCGTCTCCGGTACTCGGGCTTCCTCGCCTTGTTCACCGGAGGAGGTGGCGCTTCATCGTCATCGATCGGGTAGGGAGCGCCGCCCATCGGCGTCGTGTATGAAGGTGTCAATGGGGACGGACTACTGGGAGCCGGTGGCGGGTCCGGCCTGCGCCCGCTATTACTGGTCGTGCGCCCGTTGCCTTCTGGCAACGGCGTCTTGGGTGGGAGTGGCGGTGGCTCTATGCGATGTGTACGGTAGTGAGCTTGGGGTTGTGAAGGGTGTTGATACTCCTGTGGTTGCTGATTGTAAGATTGTCGGGTCTGTACGTGCCAGCTAGAGTCTGCAGCGGCTAGATTAGACGCGTTGCGCCATTGCTCAGGTGTCGGGGCCGATACTAGTAGGCGATCGTCATCGGCAGCGGTCCGGCCACCCCGCTGTGGGTGTTGCAGTCCACTCCCGCTACTGTTGGCAAGAGGTAGGGTCGGTGGCAGAGCGTTCTGGCGCGGTGGTTGGGACAGTGAGGAGCTGTCGGGCACTTCGGCGATGGCTGGATGCTGGTGCGGAGATGGCGGGGCGTTATACGAAAAGCGGTCAGACGAGCTTCTGGGTGATGGGCTGCCATTTTGGTGAGGTACGGACAGATGGTCAATGCCGGAGTCGTAGGATTGTCGTGGGGAGTAAGCTGCTGTACCTGGCGCTGCGGTACTAAATGCTGTGGGCATATCGCCAGGCAGTTCAACAGCGAGCACTTCTGCAGCAGGGAGAGGCGCCTGCCCTTGTGACTTTTGGATGGACTCGGGCACGTCGGCAAGTCGGTTATGCCGCTCATTAGCACGATTGATCTTGGCCAGTTTGGCGGCAGCACTCTGAACCATGTTGCGTTCAGCAGTTCGTGATAAATATCGCTTTGTGTTGGTGCTGATTTCAGCCAGGCGGCCCCATTCGTTCATGCCAAACTCGCCGACACCAACCTCTACATTTAGGCGGTAGTAGTTTTCAACGTTGACGCCGCGCCTCAACAGGTGCTCTTGCTGCATATATTCGTGGATGTTTTCACAACCTTCGATCTTGGAAATAAGACGGCGGCGAGCTTCTGCGAACTCGCCAAGAAACCCATCATACCACATCGGGTTGTTGTCACTGCCACGAGGACGCTTGCCGGTGCCAACGCTGACAAAAACACCGACGTCACGGCCCGGCCACTCGTTGATGGTAGCCTCATCAAGGGCATGGGGTGAAGGGTTAAAAGAGCCAGAACCGTCATCGTGAAACATGGACTGGCCGATCTGAATGGGCTTGAAGGCAAGGCCAATGGCGCAAGTTGCACGACCGGCCTCCCAAATACGGCAGTCAAATTCCGGGGCCGGCTCCCGCCTAGAGTCGTATGATCTCAGCATGACGGGCTCTTCGCCTCGTGGCGCGCCTTTGTATATAGCAGTGACCACCCTGTGAGAAACTCGTTTAGCCAATTGTGTACGGTTCAAAACAGAATGGGTGGTCAGTCCAGTCCATAATGCTGCCAACTCACGTTTTTGTGCGAAATTCCCTCGAGTCATAAAGTAGCGCGTTTGGGTCGCCACGGTTAGAGGAGTGGTATGGCCTGGCCATCTGTGCGGCGGGGCTTCGCGCGCTGAAGCTTACGACACTTGCATTGCTCGAGTGTCGCCGCGGTGCAGACGAAGACGAAGCGCCACTGGCGGGCCGGCCGGAGGTTGCGGTAAGGGGACTGGCGATGCTGGAGAGCGAGTCTTTACCCTCACTGAGGGCCACGGTATGTTCGCGCACAGCCTCTTTGATAGCGTCTTCGAGGCGTGATGCCTTGAATAGCGTCGGACGGGTTGGGATGCCGAGGATGGTCTTGTCGGTCTCGAAAACCATACGTGTCATGCGCACATAGAGTTCTTTGCACGTCTCGATATCAAGGCGTAGGCGACCAAGCATCAAGGCAATCAGTCCGCCGGTGCCGGTGCCAACAATTAAGTCAAAATGGTCGGCGGGCTTGGGGATCTCGTTGCGGTGGGGAGCGCGACCCTCAATCTCGACAAACGTCCGGTGCATAATTTCTTGGAGGATGATGAAGATGCTGTAACCGCGTACACCACCACCATCTAATACAAAATAATGAGATTAGAAAGGCCGGGATCCGGGGTAGCGTATACCAGAGAGGCAGACATACCAAGAGATAATATGCGAAGGGGCGGCCCCTTGGTCGTATCTTTTCGTTTTAGACTCGAGTCCATGACGGCTAGTATGATAGTGATCGAGCAGGAGATGCCTCTCCTGCCGTATCAGAAGATTCGCGGCCCCCGAAAGGAAGTGAAGAATGCGCTCCGTTTGAAGATACTCTCAGCCAGCTTTTTGTCTATTCGCCGGTACTTAGGTCAGCTTTGCGATCGAGGAGAGGGCATTAAAAGGATGATGTAAAGGTTGCAAGATGACGAAACGTGGACGGAGTCCTATTCGCTAGCTCGTTCAGATAGCTCGTTCAGAGAGACAAAATAATGTAGCAATAAAGAGACAAAGGCGCAATCTCAGCCGACTGCGGAGGGGGATAAATTAGTCGTATTTACTTTGGTTGCTTGTCTTGATTGTCAGAGTTTACGATGCGTTCTGTAAGTTGTGCGTTGGGTCTTTGCGGGTTTCGCTGGTTCGTCGACGGCGATGACGGTAGAGCGGGACTTCCGTGCCTACCCTCTTTTCCGTCCACTCGCGCTGTGGCTGGGATTGGCTAGGCTAGGACCAACTAAAGGCGACCGTGTAGCAGCGGCGCGGGGCGAGCTGTGCTGGCCTTCCTAGGGCCTGGTACCTTGGATATGCCTGTTTCATGGCAACATGGGCGGGGCATTGGGCTGTACCTCATTCTCCAATTTAGTTGGGCCGGGCCACTCCGGGAGGGACTTGGAAGGGCCAAAACAAGTTGCAGGTCCGCCAAGTTATAGTGCTGAACGACTGACAACACCAGCAGACCAGCCATCTTGTTATTGTCGGTGGGGGGAAAGGGGGGGCGACTTTCTCTGCTGCGGACGCGAAACGCGTAACCACCACAGATTTCGGAGGCTCGGAGGTAGCCTAGCCTGTGCCTTGTGTTCCAAGGTGTGGCGAGGCGCCAAGTGTGTTGGAATCTGACTGGGCAATCTATAAGAAAGGTATGCCCGACTTGAACGAAGAGAGACGACAAGAGAAAATAGTGACTGGACAGCATAATTCACTCGTTTGCGGAGCATTACTGAAGAGTGTTCGCCTGGACGGTGTGTTGTATGACTTGACGGGCGCCGAATTAGTTTCGTCAATTTGGGACTGTAATTATGCGCAATGGTCGAAGAATAGAAGAGCATGGCTTTACCAAAGGTATTAATACTCCTCAATGCTGTGTGCGAGTATCAGCTAGTGCAAAGTGGCTCCGGGCCGCCAGAAGTAGCTGTTGCCAGTCAACGCCACCAGTGAAGGTCGACGAATACACATACGCCAAAGATACGACGTACGGACTACGGAGTATGTCGTACAGCAATGCAAAATACAAAAGTCGGATCCTTGCCCCAAGTCGCTGCCGCTGGCCAACCACGTAGATGGCTGAGGAAGAGTGACTGTGTCCAGGTATCAAGCCTGCGCGACGGAAATAGGAATCTCTTCAACTATGTTCGTAGATTAAATGGAAATAACCACTTCATCTGGTCAGACGTCAATCCTGTTCCTTTGGCCAGCGCGGTGTCTAGCTGGACGTGAGCCATAATAGTCAGGTGCAACGACCAGCCAATACAATAATTCCAACTGGCTGGCGTGAATATTTTAAAAGCTATACATATTAATAATAGCCCTTATCCAAGAGAGCAGTTTGCAATGGTTGGATCTTTACAGAGTATTCTGGAGTCATTTGCGACATTCACTCGAATTTTAGACACTTTGACACGTGCTAAATACACTAGAATGGAACAACTACCAAACCTAAGCCTTGGGAACCAAGGACACAGCAAAGTTTCTTTACATTACATCGTATTAACGAAACCGGCCTTTGCGCCTGAAAACGAGCAGGGTGATATGTTCGCGACAGCGGTGAAGGCTTTGATCATCTTAAGTTCCGTGCTCTATGCCGCTGCAAGCGGCCGATATTACAGAGCAACAGGGCAGCGGATACCGCCCTCGGTAACGTAGCTGCATACAACTAGGCGCCGTTGACGTCTGTGTCTAGCGCGGCCCAAACCGGATGTCGCCGTTTCCCAGGTTGTTTAACTTGCTGTCGTAATGTGTGAAGATCGACCACTGCATCATCTTCATCTTCTGTCGTACGGAGGCGCCCAATGCGCATTATGGGCGTCCCATCGGGGTGTGTTGGCTGGTACAGGTAGTGCGATTATGAAGTTTAAAGACATACCGGATGCAAATTCAGGGCTCACAAAATACACGTTCTCAACCTGCCATACTTTGAAAGCCATCAGATGCAAAGATGGTATTCAATAATATGTAAGTTGTACAGCGAGAGCTTATTTCATATGGGCCTCTTGGGCGGCCTTTTCTTGTGCATATATTCCCCACTTGACATTGTGGTCTTTTCTCAGGAGTGTCGTTTCAGTGCTTTTTTCTCTTTCTGTATTACAACCTTTAGCGCCAAAAGCAGCTAAACGTCAAGTTGGTGGCTTACCTGGGAGCACTGACCAACTCTCTCGTAAAACCGCGTAGGTTGAAATTTAGCTAAATAAACCAAACATACTCGTGACAACAAAGCCCGCCTCGACTCAACACCTCGACAGTTCTACCCAGCGCCGACCCTGGTATACAGGATATAACACTTACCGACGAAATTAAATCGCACACAATGAATGGCCTTGGCGCAGGCAACGCACAAGGCACAGGCACCGGCGCCTTGACTGGGGCAGGGGCCGCCGCCGCATCCGGATTCCCAGCGCCTGCCGGCTACACGGCCGAGCTGAGTTATATTCACGCTATGGTTGAGGAGCTTAGCCGACAGTTGTCCGATAACAAGCGTGTTCTAGATGACGTTGTAACTGGCGTGGGACGTGTGCGGAGCCGTGCGCGCACTCAACAGCTCGGAAATGAGGCGTTGATAGAAGGGGCAAGCGAAGAGCTGCAGGGTATGCAGTCCTCAAGCAGTCATTGGGCGGGGATGAGACAGGACAGGACTTGTTTGCTATGCTAACACTTTCTTACTTGTGTTCCAGGTCAAGAGTCCAACATGGATGCCACGATCTCTGTCTTGAGTGAGGCACTCGATGCTGCTAAATACGCCAAGGACGCCAATGCCGCCCTCCTTGGCCAGTACGCGCACGTCCTCGCCGGGATGCTCAAACAGTTCCACGAGTACAAGCAAAAGCACGTATCTGACGTTGCCGCCTGGCACCGCAGCTACCGGCACCAGCTAGCCGAAGCCCGCGCCGAAAACAGCCGTTTACGTGACCAAATCTGGCAGATGCAGGAGCGCGCCGGGCGTGCCAACGCTAGTCTACGAGCTTTCCGACGGTCCTTCGATGAAGACCCGGCGAGATGGGACCGTCGTGTTACGGACAAGGCGCTCCGTCAGGAGCTGCGTTTTTGGAAGCGAATGGCGATGCCTACCGTGGCTGACGACGATCTTGCATACTGGAGCGACGATGATGATTTGATAGACCCAACGGAAAAAGTGCGGTTGCGCGACATAGAGCAGAAAGCAGTCGAAGAACAACAGCGAATGCTACAACACCAACAGCAGCAGCTCCAACACCAGCAACATCAGCAGCAGCAACACCAGCAGCAGCAGAACCTCCACTACCAGCAGCAGCAATACGAGCAGCAAATAGGATTTGCCGCTGCAACAGCTTTATCATCCGCCTTGTCTCCGACATCGCTCTCGCCAGGTTCGGGCGACATCGGTGAGGGTCTCGATGATTTAGATGTTGACACCAGTCGGCACAGAAATGAAACCAGCAGCGATCCCGTAGATGGTAGAGACGTCGATGGTCTGAGCCTAGATAGTATGGTACTTTCGCGGGCAGCTACGTCGGAGGCTCAGGGAGGCGATATTAGGAAGAACGGCCAACAGAGCGCCGACACTGATGGCGAAGAAGACGATGACGACAACGATGACCTTGACTTAGACGACGATCTCGACCTTGAAACCGACCTGCCGTCACACTTACCCGCTGTTCCACAGGCACCCTCATCAGCCCCAACGCCGGCAAGCATCAGCCGCGTGGGTGGCATCCTTGCTATACAACGAGATAGCCCTGTGGCATCAGCACATGGTCAAGGAACGGACATAAGCCCAGACATGGCGTCTCAGCCAAGCGGCTCGCGTGTACGTGAGCCGTAGGTGGGCAACCAGGCGGGCAGTCGGACAAGCGGACCCTCAACCGACCAGTTCATTTTGCCCACCATCATATGTCTGTTATGTTTGCCGTATATTTAGACTCGTCACTCGAAATAGTGCGATTGACACACACAGGTGATAGCGATCTGGTAGCTTTATGTGTCATAACCATTAACGCCCCAAAAAAAATCTGCGCAATTGAATAGCACTATTGTACTACATATTGATCTAAACAAGACTTTAAACGACTCTGCTCACCATACAAAACCCTAATACAGCCCAAGGTTAAAGGCATCGTCACGAACATGCCAATCCAGTGCCACAATTGCCTCGCTTTATCTCCGCTCCGTTACCTAACCTAATATCCACTCTGTTCTCTCCAATTGTCATCGGATCTAGCGCCTTCACCAGCTTCCTGGATTGCCTGCTCGTCACCTCGCAGCTTTGCAAAGTAGGACTTGATATCTTCCGCTGAGATTGCCTGTCCGCTCTCAGCAAATTGTTGAAAGAAAGGCTTCAGCTTGTCCTTGAGATGATTATATGCCATCACACCCTCAATTGCCCGCACCCGGTCAACGTTGCGTAGCGCGCTTTCGCCGCGCTCGTAGAGACTACCGCTTCCGTGCGACCCACTTCCAGGGCCGACACCCTCCGCGTTGCTACCACCGTCGTCAGAAACTGGCGGCTCATACGTTTCCTCCTGCTCAAGCAGCTGGGGATGGGCAGTTAACAGAGGAAAGCAGTTGGCGCAACGACATAAATGATCGCGAAAATCTTCTGTGAAAAACAACGAGAATCGACCACTGGGTGGAGGTGGAAGGGTTGCTTTCTTGCAAGTTGGGACAACAGGTGCCAGAACAGTTGGCTCCATAGTTGATACAGTCTCGTCTTTTTCAATGTTGGTCGACGCGTCTTCATCGGCGACCGCTTTATCGTCAGTCCGAAACCTCTTGGCACCTGTCTCAGTATCGTCGTCGGCTTTACGCTTCACCAGGCCCTCCGTAGATGGGCCTGGAGCTTGTGCTGGCGAGACGTCTTGCTCGGTTCGGTATAGTACAGCTGGTAAGAAGCCGGGCGATCCAGCGTACTGTCTGATCCAAGGATATGCGTCGACGCATTTGTAGCAGATAAAACCTTCGAAAGCATCCTCGTTCGGAAACCCAGGCGGCATGGGTGGATCGTCTTCGCCCTCTTCTTCGCGATCGCCACATCCATCACCCTCAACAGCTCTAGCGCCTCCAGAACTGTGAACCGCTTCAGTTACATGTTCGTCGTACTCGACAGTCTCTGAGATGGTTGGCAGACAATCAGTTACTCCACGTGCAGGTGCTTCTTCGTCTTTGTGCGTAACCTTAGAAACCTCAGGCCCACGCTCCTGGTACGTTTCTGATTCCTTCAGCCCTAGACCAACGATGCAACCAGGATGCCACCAATCTTCACCGCAGCCGCCAGTATCATGCGTGCCAAGTCCCAGGCACTGGAACATAGTACCCCTTTGCTGGAACGGGTCATAATCCAACGCACACCCACAAAAGCGATTGCGAAAGTTCTGATTGTACTTGTTGCCTCTGTCGGGTTCCTCGGAGTGCACGACACCTTTGGTATTTGTTTTGGGATCAAAACGAAGGCGGCACGGGCTTGTAACAGGGAACCGGGTAGTACCGCAATCGCATGTGAAATTTCTTTTGTTGAAAATTTCAACTAACTTATGTTCACCATGGCACTGTACGGAACAGGCGTAACAGATACCGGCCGCGCCGTTGTAGGACTGAAGGCGATCATCGGTTGAGGTTGAGGGTGCTGGGTTGCACGTCAGACAGGCAAAAACCGCCTGGCGAAGACGCCCAAGAGGCTTTGTACAATTTTCGATGCTCTGCAACGTTAGTGGGAGCGACGTGCACAGGAAGACTAGGTGGCCTAGAACGTACATAAGGCAGAGCCTCACGGGCATCGGCCTCAAGTTGCATCTGCGACCGGATGAAGCTGAGAAGATGTGATAAGTAGCGTGCCGACGAATTTATTAACGGGGAAATGGTACAACGTACTCCAGTGCTGTGTGCGAGTCATCCGAAGCTTGTGAGCTATGCGATGAACTCCGGCGACGTGCCGTCGATGTGTGCAATCCATCTTCGGCTGACTGGACATCATGGCGCGATCGTGAATCCATCCTCGAGGACGGTTGGCGCAGCTCTGGCAGAAAACCACGGGGTTGTCTTTGAAATATCTCAACAAGCAGAAGGCAATGGCGGAAATGGAGTCAAAACGTTATGTTGGATACTGTGTGAATTACTTGGACAATTTTCCGGTTCGCCTTCAGTGTCTTCATGTGTCCCGCGTCACGCGTTTTTGTTGTTTGTACGGGCCCGTACACCTATTGGGAGCCCCTATGGGAACCAAGGAAAGCAACTGCTGATGTAATTCAAAAGTTTGCGCCTTCTCCAACAGGATTGGTGACAACAATTTTAGTGGGTCATATGCGACCACTTTAAACCTCCTTTACACGTTGGCTCTAAATGGACTAGTTCATTTGGAGTTACGCGCCTTGACGCGAATTTGGACCGTGGTAGACGCGACACAGGGAGCACCCCGTGCGTTTGAACTCCCGCACTCATTTTAACTTGGCTTCTTGTCGCCAACCTTTGTGACTCCCCTGCTTCACGTCTAAACCTATTTCTTATCAACTTCATCTTTCGTTGCCCTCCAGTTTCTTCAAATTTCTCATCTCTGCCACCTGTTGTGACAACTTGACAAAATAACTTGCCGACAGAACACAACAAACTCGACAACCATATAGGATCACGACACCCCCTGTAGACGCTCACGCCATGAGGTAAGAAGGGAAATCGAGCTTTGCCCAGTACTCTGCTAAACGTCGCTGCGTGGAACTAACAGCCTGTACAGTTCTCCACTGCGCCCTAGTATGGCTTCTGGGAACCGCGGTGCGGCGCCCCGGCTCAACCGCAAACGCTCTCGCGGCGCGGCGGACGACGGCGGGTCGTCCGCAGGTGCTACGTCCAGCCCTATTCCATCATCGCCACCCGGGTTTGATATCGTCCATGGACAGGACGACAATAACGATGATATCGAAGAAGATGTTGAGATCCAGGACGACATTGATGAACTCGACGAGTTGGCCGAGGACGATGTCGACCTTTTCCGCGAAGGATTCGAGCGTGACTATCGCGAGAAGGATGAGACCGATGTCTACGAGGGCATTGACCTCGATGACGACAATGATTTCGACACCATGGACTTGGGCGACCGTCGCCGGCTTGAAGCACGGCTAAGCCGTCGCGATCGCGAAGTTGCACGGCGCCAGCAGCAAGGCATGCCCGCGGCGTTTTTGCCAGGAGATGACGATGACGACGGCGAGGGCGGTGACATAGATTTGACGGCGCAGCCTCGGCGGCGGCGTCACCGGATGGACGAAGACCCGGATGAAATGCTTGATGGTGACATCATGGATGAAGAGCTTTCTTTGGAGGCGCTTCAGGACGTGAAAGCAGCCAGCCTTACTGAGTGGGTGTCGCAGCCGGCAGTGCAGCGTACGATCAAGCGTGAGTTCAAAGCCTTTTTGACCGAGTACACGGATGAGAGTGGCTCGTCGGTGTACGGCAGCCGGATCCGAACGCTTGGCGAGATCAATGCGGAGTCGCTCGAGGTGTCATACGATCACCTTTCTTCGGCAAAGGCTATCCTCGCATACTTTTTGGCCAACGCTCCCACAGAAATGCTCAAGCTCTTCGACGACGTCGCCATGGATGTAGTTCTGCTTCACTACCCAGATTACGAGCGTATCCATTCGGAGATCCATGTTCGTATCTTCGACCTACCTGTGCACTATACCCTTCGCCAACTCCGCCAATCTCACCTCAACTGCCTGGTTCGTGTGAGCGGTGTGGTGACTCGGCGCAGCGGTGTGTTCCCGCAACTAAAATACGTTAAATTCGACTGCTCTAAGTGCGGCGTCACTCTAGGGCCCTTTCAGCAGGAAGCCAATGTTGAGGTAAAAATCAACTACTGCCAAAGTTGCCAGTCGCGTGGCCCCTTCACCCTCAACTCAGAGAAGACGGTCTACCGCAACTACCAGAAGCTTACGCTGCAGGAGTCGCCCGGTACCGTACCGGCAGGTCGCCTACCTCGCCACCGCGAAGTCATTCTGTTGTGGGACCTTATCGACAGGGCGAAGCCTGGCGAGGAGATTGAAGTAACCGGCACATACCTCAACAACTTTGATGCCCAGCTTAACAACCGGAACGGGTTCCCCGTTTTTGCCACAATTCTCGAGGCCAACAATGTGGTGAAGGCTCATGACCAGCTTGCTGGGTTCAGGATGACTGAGGACGACGAGCAGGCAATCCGGAAGCTCGCACGAGACCCGCAAATTGTGGACAAGATCGTGCAGTCGATGGCGCCCAGCATTTATGGCCACGACGACATCAAGACGGCTGTGGCATTGTCGCTGTTCGGTGGCGTAGCCAAAGTCCGTAAAGGTGCCCATCACGTGCGCGGCGACATCAACGTGTTGCTGCTAGGCGACCCTGGTACTGCAAAGTCGCAAGTTTTAAAGTATGTCGAAAAGACAGCACACCGTGCGGTGTTTGCGACTGGCCAGGGTGCGAGTGCCGTGGGTCTTACGGCGAGTGTGCGCCGCGACCCGCTAACAAGCGAGTGGACACTCGAGGGAGGTGCGCTGGTGCTTGCAGACAAAGGCACTTGCTTGATCGACGAGTTTGACAAGATGAACGACCAAGACCGCACGTCGATCCATGAAGCGATGGAGCAGCAGACAATCTCGATTTCGAAGGCCGGCATTGTGACGACGCTGCAGGCGCGGTGTGGCATCATTGCGGCGGCCAACCCTATCGGATCACGCTACAACGCGACCATCCCGTTCGCGGCCAACGTGGAGCTGACGGAACCCATCTTGTCGCGTTTTGATATCTTATGCGTCGTGCGGGACACGGTCGATCCGGAAGAGGACGAGCGGCTCGCACGGTTCATTGTTAACTCGCACAGCCGCAGCCATCCGGCAATTGAACCTGACTCCATGCAAGCGAACACGTCCCAAGATGATCAGACCCAGGAGACTGCCCAAGGCTCACCTTCGTCTACATCTGTAAGCAAAACACCTGACAACCAGATCCCGCAGGATCTGCTCCGCAAGTACATCCTATATGCCCGTGAGCGGTGCTCGCCCAAGCTCTACAACATGGATGAAGACAAAGTTGCGCGTCTATTTGCCGACATGCGGCGCGAATCGCTTGCCACGGGTGCATACCCAATTACAGTGCGCCACCTTGAGGCAATTATTCGCATTTCAGAGGCGTTCTGCCGTATGCGACTTTCGGATTACTGTACAGCCCAGGACATTGACCGTGCAATTGCCGTGACCATTGAAAGCTTTGTCGGTAGCCAGAAGGTCAGCTGCAAGAAGGCGCTCGCACGCGCATTTGCCAAATACACGTTGGTACGGCCAGGCCAGGGATTCGGTCGCCGAGCCATGACTAGCGGGGCCGGCGGGCGCAATGCTCGGTCATCGTCTGTGACTGTTTAGGATGGAGAGTCGGCAATCTGAATGAAGGATCGGCAACAGCACCGATTGCCGTAGTCAAGTCTCCTAGGAGCCATGCTTTAATGAAAACAATGGGGAGGTGACAATATAGATGGGGGTAGTGCAAGTCAAGGCGACCTCGACGGATGATAGTTGTCACGGGATTTTGTACGGCCACGCCTCTTTACATGTATATTGGGAAGTATTTTCTTAGATTTGTGTTATTTTAACTGTTCTGTGTTTTTGTTCTACGATACATGCTTGTCGTTCCTGAACGCTTGTTGGGATAGTATGTCTCGTAGGTGTAAAAGGATAGGGGGAGGAGGGAATATCAACCTGCACAAAATCAAACGGCAAGAAACAGTACTCGTGGGGCGGATGGAGCTTGAAGGAATGAAAGAATGAAGAGAGGCGTAAAACATCACAATCATGAATAAAACTCAGCGTATTTGGGTACAGACATAAAGCAAGGTTCTGTATTCTTTCCTAACCCTTATACATGAGGTGGAATCACATGACACTTTGCACCCTTTGTTTTCCTGCTTGTGCGGTCTCACCAAAAAGGTATACATCTGACTCGATTCTCATAAAATTATAAAACCCGCCGCTTTCCAACATAACTGGGATCACGGCCACCACCATCAATCGTCGGAGCTAGACGAGTCGTCAGACTCTGAGATGGTCTGCGATTGGGCTTGGATATCAACAGCCTTACCGTCAGGCGCACTCAAGGTACCGCGCACCTGCACCTCGACGACTGGCGGCAGAGGCCGTTTTGCGGGAGGGCCGTCAGGGGGATCTTCGCAAACAATGCGCCAAACGCAGCGAAATTTTGTCGTGTCGGACGGGTCGCGTACGTAATCACGGACAGTAAAGCGCACGAACGTGCCCGAATTGGTGGTCGAGCGTCGAACACGGTTTACGGAGGCTATGAGGCCATCAAAGTCCATGGTGAATCCGTCGATGGTAACATGCGAAGTACCCGGAATATAGAGGTCGAGGAGGCCTTCGCGAATGCGAGCGTCCTTGGCCTCAACTGTGTCGGTGGCCGGATCAACAGGCTCGGGGTTGAAGAGGCGCTGGAGAGCAGCCCCCCAGGTCTCGGCCGAGCGATAGACAGACATGGCGGAGAGCCAGAAGAAAGCTGTTGCGAAATGAAGAATAGGAGGGTGGACAGGCAAATTTCTAGAAATGCTGGAATCTTGATTCTGTAAAGGAACGGCAACCGGAAGCGCCCAAATGCGCCCGCAAGGGTGAAAGATGTGAGCTCCGCCTTTGACTTGCGCGTGGGAAGCTCCGAATCTGGTCTGTCGGCAAAGAGAAAAGGCCGTTGCAACAAAGATCGCATTCGTCTTCCAAAGCACGTACTACGTGAAATTGGCGGACTCTTGCCTCCTGTTCTGGCCAGGCCCAAGCTTGGCAGGTCAAGCACGTTACATCTTCCACAGGGAGCAGAATTTGCGCCGCACTACCCAGACAGTTCAATATGCAAACTATTCATAGTTCTTGCTAAAAAGCATGTAATTGCAAGTTTTAAAGGTGTGGTGAGACCCCCTTATTTTCGCTTGCTGGCTGGTCCGGCTTAATCTCTCCCACTGGTCTCCCCGTCCACCCCGGCATCTCCCACTTGCCCCGTCCCACCACGCCCGAGTTCGTTCAAGCATGAGGAACTAACACCCCTGTGACCCACCCACCACTGTTTGTCAAACTGGTAGGAAGTGCAAGTCGGCCGAGCAAAAAGGTGCCGCCCCTTCTCTCTCTGCCAAAAAGCCGATAGGTTGGTAGAGCAGATGGGGAAGCAAAGAATGCTCCGTGAGTAGTTTCGAGAATAGTCCCACCAGGGTAGCCACCGCGGAGAATTTCTCAGTGCTGGACCACAGAAAAATACGGATTAATACGGGGCATCAATTCCACATACATACGAAATTAATAGTACGGAGTATTACATTTTAATCTGTATCCGTCTTGGTCTTGCCGAGAATGAGATCTGGGACGAGAGGTGCTCCTCAAAGAAGAGTCCGGACTTGGCACGGCCCGGCATTCCGTCCCGTGCCGTTAGGGCAAGTTTAAGCAAAGCGTGCCTTTCGCAGCCGACCCTTTTGCGGACCAGCTACTATGGTTTGATTGACTCCCCATTGCAAGATATCGCTAGTCCTGGTTGCCTCGACGGTTCCGTTCAATATCTCACATGTGAATATTTCCCACACAACTCTTCCGTTCTTCCGTCTCTGCCTGGCTCACCGTCGGTGTGCTTCCTTTGAGCCCCTGTTAAATTCTACGCACAATCTCGAACCGTGGTAATGGGGCAGTTGCACATCATTATGCTTTAGTATACAGTGTGAAGGTGCTATCGGGAATGTGGCAACGAGAGCTTCGCCTTTACTGCAGGGTAGAAACATTCATCAAAAGTCGGAATAAAAGGTTAAAAAAATGACGTAAAGTACCCAATACCGAACCTACCTGTAAATGTACAAGCAGGCCAAGCTTTTCGTTAAGCAGAGCCTGTCCTCAATTTTTTTTTTGATCATATCTGTCAAAGTTTCAAAATTCCCTACGGCGTAGAGTAAGCCGAGTACTAACCAACGACCACCCGTGGCCCACCGGGCTAACCCCACACGCCACAGCTTAAAGCACCTAGCTGCGCGACGACTTGTAGTTTGTCCACACGACGCGACGCGAAACTAGCATCTCGACAACCAACGTCGCGATATGACTGCCAGCCCTATCGCCTGCCTTCTCTCACGCCGCGCAGAAATTCCTACATGAGTTAAAGATGGATCCCCCGACCGTCATTGCCATTAAACGGGCTTTTCTCGAACTTGCCACGCGTCAATTGGCCCAGCCGCTCACACCATCGCGCACCTGGCAAAGGAGAAACAACTCGAGAGGAACCATACGTGGTCGCGATGCAGTAGCTATCGAAAACAGCACCGGTGATATCGGAGACGGTGGAAGGCGCTTACCTCCCAAGGTTATCGACGAGGTCCTTGTGCGCACCAACCAGTTACTGTTGCTTCACTCTCGCCGTGTGCACACCTCAACGGCTGTCCGCCACGTTGCCGAACAACTGGACCAGCTCTACCAGGCTACTAGCGACGACCTGTTGGCCCTACCAAACGATGCTAGCAGTGAATCTCTTGACCGAGGATCGGACTACAGTATGCTTTCCACAACGAGTCCTCCCCGTTTTCTTGACTTTCTTCAAGGCCCTCCCTGCTAACAAACAGCTGCATCGGCGATAATTTTTCACCTTCCAGTAGCCTGGGACGATTCCCTTGAGGCTGACAGACTACCGCTCGAGGCCCGCCGGTATACAGAGCAGGTGATACAGCTGCAGGCGCTTGCACGTCATCGGACAGAAGCAGCAGCACGTGTGCGGCGCCTACGTGGGATAAACTCTTTGCTCGACGGTGTCTCGTCTGACGTCGTTCCTGCACAGCTTAGTCTCGTAACGCGTGATGGGCCAGTGGAGGGCGAGCTAGGGCGGATGCGCCTACTTCTCGCAAGAGTGGGTGACCGGGTTGCAAATTTACCCACTCCGGATGTATCGTTGACAGGATCAATAGACCGGCCAGACGTAAACGTGGACAACATAAACTCAGCGACCACGGACGTCGAAGAAATAGGGCGTCTACGATCCCAGGCGCTACTTGAGCTTTGTTGAGAGGCAGGAACATCGGGAACTATACAGCGCAACACATTCCGGTGTATTATGTAATAATTTCACATGAGCCAGTTTTAGCAACATTTAGTTGAAAGGGCATAAAGCTGCGCGGCGATGTACGGCGTATTCCATCGTTATTTCCCATTAATTGTCTAACTAGTGGATAGCTCCCGCTCAATCCAACAGTGAAATACTCCCCATCTTAAAAGGCGGTCAGATTAAAGAGCGGCAAAATTTCGCTAAGATACTTCGTGTCGTAATAATAACCCATAGTCCGCTGATAGGGCTTTTTTTTTTCCCTCTCCCCCAATTCAAATTCCACATCACGCCTGCCACAACATCCGCTCTTCATCATTTCCTCGAAAAATAATTGTGACAATACCCAAACAGAAAATAAAAAATGGTTCAAGGGGCAGTTAAGAAATCGGCTAAACCGGTGTCCAACTCTCGCAAAGCAAAGAAACAGGCCATCGCCTCCGGTTCCAACGGCGCGCCAAAACGATTCACTCGGGTCACCAAGGCACCTCGGTCTGCCAAGGCGGTGAAAGCACATGCAAGCACAGGCAAGGTGATGAAAAAGTTCTCGTCTGGCCTCGCTGCAAAAACTGAGGCGATGCTCGGCGACCGCGCCGGCCATCTCGAGCTGATCGGCCCTGGCAAGAAGAAGGGCGTCGACCGCAAGAGCGACAAAGCGCACCAGGCTGGCTCGCGGCGGTTTGGATAGAAGACGGCCTTCCCTTACGAATCTCCTACCGCGACTGCTTTCCTCAAAACTACCTCAACAACTTGCAGGTCTCCCTCGGCCACCCGCCAGCTGCTCACGGCGATACGGCAGGCTGGCCGGCCGCGCCATGCCGTTGGGCTGACGTACATTTGACGGGAATCGTTGATGCGCTCGGCCAGATTAGCGTTCAGGGATTCGTCTTTGGCCCAAAACAGCACACCTATGTGTGTGTCGTCAACTAGATCGTCATCCTTGCGCGATGCATCCTCATCTCCAAATACCTCATACTCTGGCAACCTACGCAATATCTGCCGAACGCCACGGGCCAAACGCACCATGCGGGCCAGCATCGCAGCGAGCCCCTCTCGACCCTCACTGAGCAAAACGGCATAAACCGGTAACGCACGAAAACGGCGAGAATTTTCAATACCCATGTTCATTGGGCTGGGAACAAATGGCCCGTCGCGGTCGGGTAGGTGACCGATCGCGCCTCCGGTCAGATAAGAGGCGTTGGCGTTCTGGAAAACCTCTGTTTGTATACTGGCGTGTCGGGAGAAATAGATACCCGCATCATATGGCTGTAGTACATCCAAGTTTAGTTTTGCGTCCAATGTTACCTTGTACACTTATGCAAAGTGGTTCTTTTGTTGTTGTTTACTCACAACGTTCAAGAGCTTGTGGCCATCTGACGTGATACTGTCAGCCAGCTCCAGGCCATCCGTGTATTGTCTAATGCGAGCAAACTCAAGTGTTGAGGGCAAAGCTCTTGTAAACAATCCAAAGGCTGTGTATGGCGCGCAAAGAAAGAGTAGTCAGCAAAGAAAAACTTGAACGGAAGTTAGCAAGCGAGGGATGGGAGTCGTACCCGCGTCAACATGAATCCATGCGCCGTATTTGTCGGCAAGTGCCCGTAGTCGTTGCATATCCTCCAGCCCTGTCGTTGCAAACCGACCAGTGTTAATCTCACCGGCACTAACGCTGATGATGTATGCCACAGAGGAGCCGGTTTGCCCTTCACCACCCGGGGATTGGAACGCGTCTGCGAGTGTCTGCTCGACAGCAGAAATATTGAGACGCCACGGTTCAGCCTCACTGTACGGCAAGTCTATAATGGCGGCACGGCCGAGCCCAACGATGCTCGCGGCTTTATATAACGAACTGTGACCCAAGCTTGTGAGGATGCGGATGTCGGACACGCCTGCTTCTTGGCACGCCTTGAGGAGGCCCAATTCGGCCACGGCAACGGGCGAGGCCGTGGAACTGTCAACACCCTTTCCAGACAACCTACGCCGCTTTCGCAGTCTTGTGTTTATAACTGCCTCTCGACCCATGGCCAGTCCGAGCACGTTGCTTGCCGTTGCGCCGGTGGTGAATATACGACCTGTCCAGTCGCCATCGTCCAGTCCGAAAACGTTCGCAAGCATCTGCAGCGCGGCTGCCTCGACAGCCGTACTAACTGTCTGGGCCGGTAGATGCGCATGTAGATTCTGGTCCAACGCGGTGACGATGTTGTCGGCGGCCTCGGCTATGGGGAGCACGCTGCCAGTGACAAATCCATAATAACGACCGCTTAAGTTTTGGCCATTGAGCGCAGGGATGATGGTGTCGAGGATGTGGTCATGGGCCACGCGGGCGCCGCGTGGCTGGAGGTAATCAGACTGGCCTGGCCTGGGTATGGCCGCAAGTGCTGCCTGAACCCGTGCTGACGACGGCAGTGTAGGGACGGCATTGTCGGCGCCGTCCTGCTTTGTAAGACGATCGACAGCAGCGCGCAAGCGCTCGTAGCCGCCAGAGAGAAACCCAATGTCAGTGATGTTCTCGGAAGACATTTTTTATAGGTCGAAGGTTTACGGGAACAAACGGCGAGACCTGAGATGAGTCGAAACGTAGCATGCTAGCTGACTGACGCTCCGCACCGAAGTCACAAAACACATTTCATAAAAGCAGTTCAGCCAATATTACCCACCAAAGCCCAGTGCAAAACAAGCTCCAGCCGCTACTGCCATTCTCGGCGATTTCTCGTGTGCGGAAATCCGCTAAGGTTACTTCCCCCTTTTTCACTCCAGACAAGTCTGTAGCTACAGTCGGAGGAAGTCTTGTCCAGGCTGGCAACGACATACCGCGCTGCAATTCAAATGACCTAGCCAAGTGTAACACGCCATCATTGCATAAAAATTGGCCGTGCGAGATAAACATCGGGGTAAAAATGTATTGTACCTGGGCTGTCCTCTCCTTCGCAACGCTCCGTAAAATACATAATTGAAAATAACAATACAAGTAAGAGGCGGCGAAAGATTTATGGCGCATTTTGTGTGGAGCAATACTCCTATTCGTACTCTATCCATCACGGTCCGGCCTGACAGACCCACAGTCTATTCAGACCCCTAATTTTTTCTGGGCCAAGGCCACACACAAGCCTTCTCTTTGTTGGGTATGAACATCTCTCCCCTTTCGTCGTTCTGCCCCGGCGAGAAGTTCGCGACAACGTACCTAACGAAAATATTATTTGGTCGTGTACAAACCACCTTTCCCCTCCGCCTCCGATGTCCAATCCAGCGGCACACGCCGACAGACAGAATACGTATCTGCCTGCCAGCATCCATCGGCCAGAAAAAGCGAGCCATATCCGAAAAGAATCCAACTCTATTCGACATAGTTCGAAGCTCCCTTCCTGGTACAGTCTACGCTCTCGTGCTGCAAACCGACTAGCATCCGTAGACGGCAACTCAGCACGCACGCGTGCACATACAGACACACGGACAAAGACATACATGTCTGCTCGCGCTCCCGCGCTCCACTCATCATATTAACTCACGTCGCTGCTTTGCTTTGCAGTACCGTTCGCTTCCGACGCGACTGTGCCCTGAACTTCGAAACAAACAGTTCTGCGCCTCCAACCGTGCTCTGCCCGCCGCTTGATCCGCAGCTTTCGCCTTCGTGGCTCTCCCCCGCCCACTACCAGTCGCCATGTCCGGTCTACTAAGCAAACGCCAACAGGCGCGCAACGAAAAGAATCTTCAGGACCTTGTCCAGTCAGTGTCAGGCAACAATGTCTGCGCTGACTGTCAAGCGCGTAATCCAGGTGTGTTATGCCGCTGTCCTTCTCGCACTACCGGTATCTATGCAGCTATATCACCCGCTGCCAAGCAAATGTAATCTTGCTAACGCATCTCCCAGCGTGGGCATCGTGGAATGTGAGCTTGTTGGGCGTCCAATCCCCGGCTTCTGGCCCCGGACCCCAGGGGAGACTACAGCCAATATCCTCACTATTTGCGTTTATGACCTCTTTATGTGCTAACCACTCTCTGTCCGAAACCACAGCTTGGCATCTTTCTCTGCATGCGATGCGCAGCGATCCATCGCAAATTGGGTACGCACGTATCCAAAGTCAAGTCTTTGAGCATGGACAGCTGGTCCAACGAACAAGTCGACGTACGTCCATCCCTCACGTCCAGATTTGCTCCTCGCCGTGTAGGTCTAATTTGCTGCTTCGTATAGAATATGCGCAAGGTCGGTAACGCTGCATCCAATAAAGTGTACAATCCAATCGGCCAAAAACCCCCAGTTCCCATCGACGCCGACGAAGCCGATTCAGCCATGGAGCGTTTTATTCGCCAAAAGTATATCAACTCTGCCTTTTCCAAACCTACAAACGCTGGCCGTCACCGCAGCACCGACAGCTCTGGATCCGACGATATACCACCACCACTCCCACCCAAGACCCCTGGCCGTTTAAATGTACGCTCCGTATCCTCCATCTTTCCCCTCCCCTCCAGGGTCAAAGACAATGTTTCTGCCAATATTGTTGTTAATCACAGCACTCCGGGCAACCTTGACAAGCATAACACCACACCAACCTCCCCACTGCCACGTGCCATGTCATACCCGCGGCCAGAGTCATCCGGTTCTGGGGCAGGATCCAGGATCCGCAGTAAAGTTTCACAAGTATTTGGCTCCGACAAACACACCGATGGCAGCGAGAGCCTTGATGGAAAGCTGGCAAGGCTGCGTGATATGGGTTTCTCCGATGACCGACGCAACACCGTTGTGCTCAAAGCAGTCAGTTGGGATCTAGACAGGGCTATTGACATGTTGGTGCGCATGGGTGACGCAGGTGTAAGCAATGGTCGACTCTCACCCCACCCCCTTGCGTCACCGCGTGATAGCTCCCTATCCGCGCCGACCCGCACCTTTAATCCAACAGCATCAATGACGACCGCCACGAGACTGAGCGTTCCCTTACCGACATCTCTTCGGACACCGTCATCGCCTTCTGCGAACAGTGGTATAAATCCTTTTGATACACTGGAAACTGCCCCCTCACCAGCGCCGCCGCAGTCATCCCAATCGACGGGGACGCTGCAGAACCAAAAACTGTACAGCGCTACAAACCCGTTCGGCATCGTTCCAACACCACCGCAGCAAGCTACGCCGTTTAACCCAACTGTCACGGCGTCTACGTCCGCCTTCAATTTGCATCAGGCTTTTCAGAAACTGGCACTGAGCCCGCCGCAGCCATTATTTCCCCACCACACCGGAAGCAGCATGCAACAACAGCATCAGCACCAGCACCAGCAGGCCCTCCAAGCACAGTCTCCGCTCAGTGTCTCATCAGCAGGTCAACCATACTTTTCTTCCACCTTTCCGGCCGGCCGATCTCACCAAAGCAATTTACCGCAACGAGTAGAGTACAATAACCCGTTCATGAATGTTGACAACGCATCACAGCAGCAGCAGCTACAGCCAGTGCCGCATGTACAGTATCAGCGACTCCAGTCCCCTATGCAACCCCAACAACCGCTGTCTGTCGTAACATCTGATTTTCCTAATGGTACGCTTGGGAATAATCCATTTACACGGTCACCCACTCGCATTCAATCCCCAAACGCACTAGGACAAATCCCAGAGCAGTCCCAAGCGAGCTACTTCACAACCTTATCCCAGTCGCACACCTACCCACTACCTAATGGAAACCCGTCCGGCACCTCTCTGTCGTCGTTGCAAAACTCCAACCCGCAGCTACCCCAGCCACCTCAAAGGCCGATGAACAATCCGTTTGTGACACAGCCTCCACCTCAGCCGCAGCCGCCGCGGCTGCACAATACAGCCTCTATCATGGCATTATACAACATGCAACCGCTTTCCCCCGTCGTGGCACAACCATTGGCTTCTCCGTTAGACAAGCCAGTTCTAAATCCTCTCCAACCACCTGCACAGCAGCAGTCATCTACAGGCGAAAGTCTCTTTAACAAGAACGAATCATCGCAAACTCATTTGCCTACAACGACACGGGTAGCGAATAATCCGTTCCTTACCATGTCAAACACCACCAGTATGATATCAACATATGCCCAACAGAATTCACAATATCCTACCACGCAACCGTCCTTGTCGTCAGTGCAGCGACAACCCCCGCCACCTACAGTTGCATCGCCCTCTGGTACTACCATGACAGTGAACCCAGCGGACTTGTTTGTTAGTGGTCGCAGCAGGGATAGCATAATGGCGCTTGGCATGGAGTGGAGCAACGGGAGGCACAGCCCGGACGCATTTGCCAGCCTCAGCGCCCATCATTAGTGTGCAGGACCTCGAAATATTCCATCCTGCCAGTAAAGACATACTCGGCCTCCTCAATACTTCGTTAATTTTGCACAGCATTACAAAACGTATATTTGCCTTCCGTTGCCCAACCAGAGGCTCTCCCAACAGTCTCGATCCAACACTATAACAACTTCATAAGTCCAGAGGGTCGATAGTTACCAATATAATAATAACGATGTACCTACATAGATAACTGCGCAATAGTTAATAATTAAATCAACAAGCCTTAGTGGTTGTCAGTTGAGTTGGGTGTCAGTGAAATATCTCCAGTTGTCCCGCGTGTTGAGAAGCTCGGCAATCCTCCGAACGACCCTCCCCACAGCGGCTGTGCTAGACGGGTTGACTCTCAACCAGGCTTTGGTAAATAAAAGATTGTCCTGTACGAAATAAAACAAAACCCAATATTATTTAACCTGGCTTCGCCGTGAAGACATCTTCAAGTGCCTCTAACATCATAACAGAACCTTTGAGGCCAATAAAGTGTAGCAAATCCGAAAAGTACGATGTTCATGGGTAGGCTTCCCACAGGCAGCTGCGAGCCTATCAGCAAGGGCCCATGAATAGGCCCCTGTTTGCCCTACCTCGCAAAGGACACCAAAAGAGGTTGGAATTGGGACATGATGGAAACAGCCATGTGGCTTCTCTACGCGATCAATAGATGTGAAGGTTCCCAGCCCACTTGGACATGTCGTTGGCCAGACGCACACTGCGCAACATTTTCCCACGTCCCATTTTCTTTGCAACTTCCTTTACAGAGACCCATTCCCTTGATCTCTTTCTTTTCGTTTCCTTTTCCTGTTTATTCGGCTGCGTTCCTGATTTCTGTCCATCGTGGACCTGCCCTCGTTCCATCCTCCTTTTTCGACCTCTCCACAGAGAGCTACGAGAATCAAAGTAATCAGGAACAGGAGCTTCATCCCTCCTTCGATGGCCTTGCCACCCCCGACAGCTAACCCAGTGGCAGCCCAGGCTACTTACTATCCGCGGTACAATGTCTGTATTGTCAGGCCGCTCCAGCTACCTACACGGTCAACCCCGGATCATCATCCATGATGAGCCCTCTCGACCTGCCGCCGCTAGCCTGCCAAAGCTCCGCCCACCACGCCGTGCAAGTCTACACCGCGCGCCTCAGGAGGTCATCGATGATTTCTGGGCCGAGTTCCAGTCCAAAAGGCCTGGCAAACCTACTTCCATCGTTCCCCAAAATGCCTACGCCGACAAAGCAGCACGCCGTATAGCCGCCCAATCCAACAATGGCAGCCAGTCTACTACCGCTTCCTACGCTGAGGCCGCTGCCCAGTGCCGTGCAAAAGTTGCACACATCGTCAAGGAGTGTCGCCGCATCAATCAAAAATACCGCGACCCACACTTTGACCTGGAACTTGATATTCAACTAGATCGCCGAGACTGTCTAGAAAGTCTGTCAAATGTCTGCACCATCAACTATGGTCCTCCACCTAGCCGCAGCCGTGGGCGTCGCACACCAAGTGTCCCTCTTCAGCCAGCCTACATTGCGCCCAACTTCAATCCTCAGGCTGTAAAGCGTGTCCCTGACATTTTTGACCATCCCGAATTCTTCATCGACGGCCCAACAGCCAACGACGTACGTCAAGGGCGCGACGGAGATTGCTGGCTCATGGCAGCTCTCTGTACACTGAGCAACAAGCCGGGGTTGATTGAGCGTGTATGCGTAGCACACGATGCTGCTGTTGGCGTGTATGGGTTCGTTTTCCATCGCGACGGCGAGTGGTTCAGCGAGATCATTGATGACAAGGTACGTCCTTTCCTTTCCTAGCCATTTCTCTCTTTTGTTCTGTTCCCATTCCCATACTTATACCACCATCCGAAAACAGCTATACTTGACTAAACCGAATTACGATGAAAGCCGATCAGAGCGTAATATGTTAGAGGACCGTGTACGCGTCAACTCGGAGGAGGCGTACCGCAAGATCTACCAGTCTAACAGTGGTGCGCTCTACTTTGCGCAGTGCGAGAACCCAAACGAAACGTGGCTTCCTTTGCTTGAAAAGGCATACGCTAAGGCCCACGGCGACTACGCCTCCATCGAGGGAGGCTTCACGGGTGAGGGCATCGAAGATCTTACCGGGGGCGTCACCTCAGAACTTTACACAAGTGACATCCTAGACAAGGAACATTTTTGGAATGAAGAGCTCCTGAAGGTCAACGACACATTCCTGTTTAGCTGCAGTACAGGTGTTTGGGGTAAGGGGCGAGGTGACCGCGGCGGCATCGTAGAACAACACGCGTACTCCGTTATGCGTGCGATTGAAATGGACGGTGTGCGCCTGGTTCTCCTCAAAAACCCATGGGGCCGTCATGAGTGGAGAGGTGCATGGAGCGATGGTTCCAAGGAGTGGACAGCCGACTGGATCCAGAAGCTCAAGCATCGTTTCGGTGACGACGGCTCCTTCTGGATCTCATATGAGGACCTCCTGCGGAAATACCAGGCCTTTGATCGCACACGGCTATTTGGCGATGACTGGAGCACGGCGAGTATATGGACGACCATGACCGTACCCTGGACACTCGAATACAACGATACCAAATTTACCTTTGCACTTGCTCGCCCAGGCCCCGTTGTCCTTGTGCTCAGCCAGCTTGACGAACGTTACTTTCGAGGGCTTGAGGGCCAGTATTCATTCAGCCTGAGCTTTCGTCTTCATAAAGTCGACAATGATAACGAAGCACAAACAAACGAAGCAGACGATGCATTCGACTACATTGTCCGTAGCCAGCCAGGTTACCGCATGTCACGCTCGGTCAGCGTTGAGGTTGACCTGGACGCTGGGAGCTACCTTGTTCTCGTTAAAATCGACGCCCGACGCGACGATCAAATCTTACCCGCCGAGGATGTTATCCGCGACAACGTGCTCTTGCGCCGTGAAAAGCTTATCCGCATCGGCCTTGCGTACGACCTTGCGCATAGCAAGGGGCGTATCGTAGAGACGTCCTCTGAGAAAAAGGCACGCCGAGCCGCTGCTGCGAAGCGAAAAGCACGGCAGAAGGAGCGTCTCAGGAAAGATATTATGGAAGAGCGTGCTCTAGACTATCTAGCAGCAAAGATTCGCCTCAAGAAGCAAAGAAGGGGGATGGCCAAAGCCAACGCAAAGCGCAAAGATCGGGATGTGAAACGTCGAGCGCACATGAAGGAGGAGGAACGATCAGCCGAGGAGCTTACTCGGGGAGAACCCGCAGCACGAGAGACAACCGGATCTGACCGGCACGATGTGGACGTAGTGAGCGTGAAAGACAAAATGTCTCGGCAAAATCAAAAAGATGACGAAGCGAGGGAGGGGGTGCCAATGACTGAAGTGCCGGTGGTGGGTATATTAGCAGGCGCCTCGGCCACCGTCCCTGCAGGCAGCCCAACAAACAATCCAACCCATGCCATAACCAGCAGCAGCCACAATGAGAGCGTTGGTGACCTCACCAGTGAAGTTGTTCCAGCCTTGACCGGACTAAACCTGTCCCCCACCAGCACCGTCGGTACCGCCAGGAACGATAACACTCCTAAACCGGAACTTAACGAGGCTGATTCTCCACGCTCTATGAAGGGAGGTGTTGAAAGAAGTGGGCTGTTGCAATCCAACCGACAAGACATTAACCACCCATCGACCACTTACACGCGGCCGTTCTTGGAGGGAGAGCACTGGGAAAGTGGCAACAGCGGCCGTCACGGGACACGTTCCCCATCCCATGGCTCTCGTAGTGCTCGGGATGACAACCAAGAGCGGAATGTCTCAAGCCGCGATGGCGATCGTGTTGACAGTCGACAACGTCACGGGCGTGCCTCGCGGCCAATGTCTCCTATATACGCACCGATATCCCGTGGCCGCTCTGTTTCGAGATACCCATCGCCACCAGTATTCGGTCTCCGCTACTCTAGAACACCACCGCTGATTCCCGGTCAACCTCACCTGGTCCGCGGAGATGATGACATCCATCCCCGGAGTCATCGCCATCCTCCCCATCACCCATTTCACCTCAACGATAGGTCGGGCAATGACGAGTCTGGCCTTTCTAGCCCGTCCAGCCCCTCCGACATCAGCGATAGCGAGTTGGAGTTCATATATATGGAGCAGAATCATCGCGCCGTGAGAAACGGAGGCGATCGTCCTGGTACAAGACCAGAACCTGGCAGGCACCGAGAATTGAGGTCCCCGTCCCCGGTGCCTGTTATTTACGGCCGCCGTGGGAGCAATGACAGTCCTCGCGGTGACTACGGGGCGGGCGATCCCTGGAATGCCGTCGCCGTCGTTGGATTGCGTGTCTACTACCAGGGGGTTGATGGTGATAGGGAGAGAAGCGACAACATCATACGACTTGGTGTGGAACGAGCACATCCGTTTTCCTCGACCCGCAACCATGGCACGGGCGGTAGGACACGTAGCGACGCTTCGTTCTCGGGCGCTTCGGACGATGATAATAGCAGCGTTGTTGACGACAGTGCGGGTGAGTGTGGTAGTAACCTGAGTGGGGGTGAAAATATATCCCTCACCGAGGAGAAGATTCTTGATATAGACGATAGCCTGAAGGATGCGACCCTCCCGGTCACTTCTATAAAGCCTAAAAGGCCCTTGGGTGATAAAAGAAGGCGGTAGTTGATCTTATAACTTAATATCACGTTTATTTTTCAATAATATTTAACTTGTTGATCTGTAAATTCTTTATACTTTTTTATACAGACAAAAAAGTGTAAATTAAGTCTAAAGGAATGAGGTACATACATAAAAACAAGGTTGTTATAAGTGTTGGTTAAATAGGTTTCTTTACGATTAATTCGTCATAAAAAGTTAATAGTTTCAAGGACGAAGTAAGTGTGTATTATAAAGTATTATAGGTGTTTTATGAACAAGTCTTTATGATAAATTAATTAATAAAATGTAATAGTTTTAAAGGTAAAAGGTAAGTATATATTATAATAAAGACTAATCGTTACTTTTTCCTAGAAAAAAAGGTGAAAAAATTACACTATTTTATAAAAAATAAGTATTTAAGACTAAAACGTGGTAACCGTAAGTATAACTTAAATTTTTTTTAAAAAATAAGACTTTAAGTATACTTAAGTTTTTTAAGACTTCCGTTTAAACGTTTATTTTACAATACGTTTATAAAGGAACAAGTATTTAAAACTAAAATAAAGTAACCGTAAGTAAGGTTTATATAAAAGAATAAGTATTAAAAGTTAATCATAACAAGGACTAATTCTTACACTTTCTTTCTTCCTTTAAAAAGGTCTTATTATTTCAAAAGAAAGACATTTTATTAACGTATCGTTAAGGAGTAGTTAAAGATCAATCACTTTATATTACCTTACGTTAGTTAAATTACTTAATTTATAACCTTTAATTACAAATCAATTATAATAAAATTTTTTTAATAAGTTAGGTTTTAAATTTCCTTATGACTTTTTTTTTAAAAAAATTTATTAAGTAAAAAGTATTAAAAACAATAATTAACTTATTAATTAAGTGTAATAATTTATTACTTTATATATAGAAACTACATTATGGTCTTCTATATTACATATAAATTAAGTTTAATTTATGAACTATTAACGTAATATAAAACTTAAATGTATTAAACGTACTTTAATTACTTCTTGTTAAATATAATATTCAAATAAATATCTATTATTTATAATATTAATATACTGTTCATAACATCAACCAATAACTATACAAAATAATTAATAATAAATGTTAAATAGATATTTTTATTTAAAAAATTAGTTATAAATTATATCTTGTTAAAACGGTATTTATTTTTATCGTTTTTTGCACTTAAATATAAATTTAATTACTCGATTAAACTTTAACTATAACCCGTTTTTACATTTTTTTTTTTCCTTTTACTCGTCTTTTAATTAAACGAACGTTTTTTAAATAAACTATTTTTTTATTATAAAAGAACCGTAACTTATTTTCCTTTTATCTAATACTTTTTAAATCAATAGACCTTTTTTTATATGAAACTTATTACTCGAAAATTTTTAGTAATTTTTTTATACTTTAACCATATCTCGTAGTTTATCCGTATAAAGTCGTTTTTTAATTCATTATTTTATAATATATTTTTTACAATGCTGTTTTATACTATAAATATAATAAAAATAAGTTTTAAACGATATTATAATAAATATCTTATAAGCGTAATTTTATATTATTTTTATACTTTTATAATAATACGAACGAGTTAAGTTGAATAATTTAACGTTTTACGACCGTTTTAATCGTACTTTTTTTAATCGATCCGTTATAAAATTACTTTACGGGTCTTTAACTGTTTTATATATTAGTTACGGGGTTAGAATATGTTAGTATTAATATTTTAGCATTAGTATTAGGGTTGGGAATTAGTTGTACTAAATTTAGTACAACTAAACTTAGTTTTTTAGTTAAAACTAAGCAACTAATCCTTAACCCTTTGTATATTACGTATTCAATTAAAATATATCAAAATAAAACATTTTCGTATAATAATTATTAAATAAATATTTAAAAGTTAAAATTATGTTTTATAGAAAGTAATAAAAGTTTTAAACCAACACGTTTTAAAATTAATATTTTACTATTTTTATTTTACAACTCGAATTAAACTTAAAATTTAAAGGTGTACTGTTAATATAATAAGACGTCTAATATTTAACTCAACTGTATTAAAATAAAACGTTTTCGTGTAATTGTCGTTAAATAAACCTTTAAAAGTAAAAATTTAACTTTTATAAAACGATTACCAATGAACCTTTTAAACTGACACCTTTGAACACTAACATTTTACTTTTTATACTGTAAAACCCGACGTAATTTTATTTTTAAAATGTAAAAGATTATATTTGTAGTAAACAACGTATTTAAAGTAAATATATTAAAAGAAAACGATTTCATATGATTAGTATTGAATAACCCTTTAAAAGTAAAAACTTACTTTTTATAAAATGTAATAAACGTTTTAAAAGAACACCTTTTAAAATTAAAATTTTACTTTTTATATATTTTATGTCTAAAGATATACAGTAAATACAATAATACGTTTTATATTTAACTTAACTGAATTATACTAAAACGTTTTCGTATAATTACTATACAATAATATTTTAAAAGTAAATAATTATATTTTATAAAACGTAAAAAGCGTTCTTAAACGAACGGTTTTAAAAACTAATATTTTACTTTTTCCGTTGTAAAACTCCAATTGGTTTTATTTTTAAGTACAATATATAACATTTAAGTATTGAATATTATATTTTAGTAATACGTATTAAAAAAAAAGATTTATTAAGTGAATAGTATAACATATTAAATTAAATATGTAATATTAAATAAGTTATATTTTTTAGTATAACTAAATTTAATTATATTAAAACTACTAAAACTAAATTTAGTACAACTAAATTTAGTTGTACTAAGGCTACTAAATCCAAATTTAGTTTTTTAGTTATACTAAAACTAAACAATTAATTCCCAACCCTGATAAGTATGGATTTTTCAAATACTAATTTAGTATTAGTATTTTTAGTACTAGTCTTTTAGTATTAGTATTTAAAAAATCAGTACTAAGTATTTGTAGTATACTGGATTGATTGGTATTAGAATAAATACTAATTTTCTGAACTTAGTGAAAATTCGTTTGCAATAAAAGTAGTCCTTTATTTATATTATATAACGTATTTATTTTTAAGTTTAAAAGTGTGTATATAATTTAAACGTGGATTTTAAACCCAGTAATAATAGTATTATCATAAAAAAGTAAATACTTTTATTCCGTATGAAAATTACTTATCTTAAAACGTAATGTTTTAAAATTACGAATTATGATCTTTTACTACTTTTTAAAAAACTGATTATAAAGACGGCATTTAATTTTTAACTATCTACCTAGTTATCCTTATTAAACAAGGCGTTATAACCAGGGTTGGGAATAACCAGGGTTGGGAATTAATTGTACTAAATTTACTTTTAGTACAACTAAATTTAGTTGTCAAGAAAAACAACTAAATGTAGTTGTATTAAGTTTATCTGTACTAAAAAGATTAAATAATTATATACTTCTTTAGTTTAATGCGTTATATATTACTTTTATTTAATACGTAGTAATAAAGTGTGATATTAGTTTAACACTTTAAAGGTGTATTATATTTGAAAATATAGTAACTAATTCGATATTCATAACGTAAAAATTGAAATATACGTTTTAATTATATATTAATTAAAAACCTTATATTCCGTTTTAAAAAACGTAATAATTTACTTTTAAAATTTTATTTAACGATAATTATATAAACACTTTTTATTGTAATTTATTTAAGGTACATACGATATTTACTATTATTTTAACCGTTTACTATTTAAAAATAAAAGTAATTCCGGTTGTTATGATATAAAAGCTAAATTTTTCTTTCTTAAAACGTGTTCGTTTAAAACGTTTATTACGTTTTATAAAAAAGTATGATTTAGCTTTTTAAATATTATTTTACGGTAATTATACGCAAACGTGTTATTTTAATATATTTACGTTAAATACGTTATTAACTATCAATCTAACGTTATATCTTTTAAAAGGAAAACTGATTCGAGTTTTTTTTAAAAAAAGTAAAACCTTATTTTAAAAGGTGTTACTTTAAAAACGTTTATTGTGGTTTTTAAAAAGTAAGCTTTTACTTATAAATTGTTACTTTACGGTAATTATTCAATAACGTTTTATTTTAATATAGTATAGTTAAATATATAGTTTACTGCTTATTTAACCGTATAGTCTTTAAAATAAAATAAATCGAGTTTTAAATTATAAAAAGTGAAACTTTTCTTTTAAAATGTATTCGTTAAAAATATTCATTACGTTTTAAAAAAGTAAGTTTTTACTTTTTAAATAGTATTTTACAGTTACTATACGAATACGTTTTATTTTAATATATTTTACTTAAATATATAATATACTATTATATTAACTGTATAAGAGTTATAAATAAAATTATGGTAAGGTTTAAAATGTAATAAGTAAATTATTCGTTTTAAAAAGTATCACTTTAAAACGTTTATCACGTTTTATAAATGTTACGTTTCACTTTTTAAATATTATTTTATAGTAATTATACGAATATATTTTATTTTTACGTTAAATACGTAGTATATTATTACATTAACCGTATAATAGTTAAAATTAAAATTATTTCGAGTTTTAAAATTTAGAAAATATATAATAACTTTAAAAACGTTTACTTTATAAAGTTTTCTTTAAAAAAAAGTAAATAGTATTCTATTTATTTACTTTATTATCGTTAAATATTAACCAATTAAGGTTATTAATATTAAAAACCTTTTACCGTAATAATATAGCCTCCTTAACCGTATAAGGTAAAAGACGGTTACGGTTTTTAGTAACGATATTATTATTAGGGTTACGAAATTAATATGTAGTATTTAATATTAATATAATATTAATGTAATATTTTAGTATTAATTAATATTAATAAGGGTGAATATTAATTGTAATATATTAATGTAGTATTTTTTTCGTCGAAGACTATATTATTATATTATAGTTAATAATATTACTGTATAATATTACACTTAATATTATATTAATGTAATATATTACAATC